TATCTTTCAAGTGTCAATCGTGGGAAACAGCTCGATGAAGACGACTTTGAGAACAAAATGAGTAGGGTTTGATAAATTGCTCAGCAATCCTTCTCAATCCTTTTCGCATTCAATTTTATGCTTTATCCTTATCTTTTTTCTTATTTTCGAAAAAAGATAATTTTATTCATAAGCTTTTATTCATCTTTAAGACATACTAACTCGATCTGATATTTTAATCTTTCATGTAATATTTATGCATAACAAAATATCTTCTTCCCCTTGCCCGTCATGGAAAAATATTGAGAGATACGTTAAATATCGTGCATTGTCTGATGTGAGTAACTTTGCATCCCGCGAAATAACTTCAGTTTACGACATCGTTGAGATTGAAGATTAGCATCTTGAGCTTGCAGAGTGCAATTTGAGATAACAGTGGTCTTTTTCAGATAAACCATATGTAATCTCGCAATAACATTATTTGCTCGTCTATTCTTCAGCTTCTATTTTTATATCACATTTTTTGATTTATAACAAATAACGATCTAAGACAACTTGAGTTATTCTCAAAAAAAGCAATTTTTTGAATGACGTTGAATAAAAAGAAATATCATATTTAAAACTATATGAAATACTTTGACAGACAAATTCCTGTTGTGTCAAACGATGTATCGCATTTGTTTGACGATCAGTAAACAATTAATAAAAATAGATTAAAACCATATGATTTCTCTATGCCGTTTTATTAAGCGAAGAAAACTTCCTGCGGAGATTCTTGATTTCGTTCGCCAGCTAACAATGCGAGACACATCGCGGCGACTACTATATCTATGAGTACGTGACGAGAATCCGATTGGACTCGGGGCAAGATTGGCGAGCGATTAGGATAGGATCTCGAATGCTTATCGACCTTGCAGGAAGCCTGGAAGTTCGATTAGCTTGGCTTTGTCAAGCGTGAGAATTCCTTCGCGACTTGTAATTTCTGACACATGAGGCACGGAGATTTAGCCGAATTTCCTTTCAAAATATCGAGGAATTATGTTTGAAATTCTCTCGAAATTAGGAGAATTATTTTTAACGATCTTACAAAATTAAATGCTTTGGAGAAAACACGCGTCTTCGAAATTGCATTACGACGTACTTGTATCGACAACGCATGTGATTTCAGGAGCTACGAAGACAGTGCCAAGATTTCGCGACAGCTTTGCTGGACCACACTAGAAGTTCCTACGAGCTTGAAGTCCTGCTGA